TGGCGGCGCCAGCCTTCCCCAACCGGCGCCCTCCAATGGGTTCTTAACGCTGGACTAATCGGAAAGGCCGAAGTAAAAGCAGACGCCTCCTGGGGTCGCAGGGCGGCCTGGATGCTCGGTTTCTCCGAGGCTCAGAAAGTGGCTTGGGCTTTCCCTGGCAAAGGGGGACGAGAGGGCAGGAGAAAGCCCCTTTCAAGAGCTGTGCCCACCCCAGCCCCCTTGGCACGCCGGGACGGGACTGAGCCCTTTCGTTCACCGGGACACTGGAGAGCAGGAGAAATGCAGCGTTCCTGAGTCAGAAAACAGCTAGGCTGGGAAACCAGTTACTGATCTGCTGCAGACTACAGTACTTTAATAAAATAAGCCATGGCTAGGCACTTTCTAAACTCCTGCCCAAATACCAACCTCGTATCTTTGGGGATTTCCAGGGACTAACCTGAGAAACCCTGGGGCAGGGCAAAGCTAGTTCTTTGAGGGGCAGAAAGAAGCTGGGCCCTGAGGGGCCACTTCCCCATTTCTTCTGGCGCCTCAGACGGAGCCCGTCCCTCAGGGCCCCGCTTCTTTCAAGGGGGCTGCTGTGAGGACATGGAGAGGGCGCACAAAAGCCCTCACCCACCCTCTGGGTCTGGCCCCCGGGCACTGCAGTTAGGGAGGTTCTGGGGGCACCAGCAGCCCCCTCCCCAGCGCTGGCGCGTGGCTCACCAGAGCCGTGCGCGTGCTGGCCTGGTAGGAAACACTAGCAGGCTTCCAAGGCCATCTTTGCACGCAGCTACCCACGTGCACACGGACGCACATACTCCAGGGCGCAGTTGCTGTGAGACGCAGGAAAAGAGACAAAACCCGGGATCAAACACTGTACGGGGCTGCGGAGAAAGAATCGGCAACCCATCTTGACAGGTAGATGAAGGTGAGCTCTTCCTTCTCTGAAAATGCTCAAACCTTTTGCAGGGAGGAATGAGCAAACGACTTCTGAAAAGCCGCAAAAGCTCCGGGGAGGGACTGGGGATGGGTCGGCAGCTGCCGTAGCAAAGGAGGCCGTTACAGAAATGCCCCCCCCCCCGCTCCCCTTTTCGCTC